CTAGGTTGCATAGAGAACACAGCAGTAGTGTTGCTCAATTTACTTCCGCAAAATTTCGCAGTATCTCTTCAGATATATATTGCAGTCGAAAAATATAATGGAACTAACAAGTAAACGTGGATGAGCTGTTGTTAACTTTGTCCATCTTTTTACCAAAACAGGTCTAGAGTGATATATAACTACTGTGCACATAGTTCAGGTTTCCATCGGTTTATAGCAATCGGCCCTGCAGATTGGAGTAACCCAGAGTTTTGCATGAAGAAAACACCTGAATTCTGTGGTCGCGTTCACTTGATGTCCATACTTTACCATGGGACGAGCGATCAATGACGCCGGTGTGCGGCGTTGGGTAGACCTTAGACCTTGACCATTTGGATGTGATTCGTTCACCAATTTATTAACCCACACAGGGTTGTGCTCGGTTACTCTTTTTCTAAGTTGCCTCTCCGTTCTGCCCAACTAGGTGGNAGGTGGCCGAGTATCTACAAGCGAACCGGTACAACTGATGGAATTTGGCATGCTGCGAAAGCGGACGCTTGACTCAGGAGCCGGTACACTGTCACACGTGTAGACAAAAACTAGTTCGAATGCGTTGAATGTTCGTTTGATCGACGAGCCGAGATGGTGTTAGAACAAATTATGCACGCCATCACACGTGAACGGCAGTCATAAAACAATCCTTCATTTAGGCACGGATGTCGGTGACTCTACCTTCAGACATTCAATACCATGGTTTTTCACTAACGACTTCGGGTAGCTGTTGTCCTGGAGAGTTTTATTCAGTTTTATCATTTCATTGGTGAGGGTATCAGGTGATTTTCTGCTCCCGGCTTGCCATAAATCGATCTGCCAGAATGGGACCTAATGAACTTCCCTTGGCTACACTATCGACTTGGCGGAAATATCGTCCCTGAAAACTGAAACATGTTCTGTATGCAAAGCAGAATGAACCTTGTCAATTCTAATAAGGAGATTGAAAGATTTATGTTTTTCTATTGTGCGAAGTAACAAATATATGGCAGTTTCTTTCAGACGTACATTGGTAAAACGCTGCGCCACATCCAAGTGGTATAAAAATTGTGATTAGCGCATAAAACGGGGTAGACAAACATTCATCGAAAACCAATTAACATAACGATCAAGGTATAGGCATAGAACCATGAAGGCAAACAGAAGTCACAGATAGCTTGGTGGATGATGTCCGGGAAACTACGAAAGAAGGGTCTAAGGAACATATGAAGGATCTTTGAAGTGCATGATTAGCTGGTCAGAAAACAATGTGAATAACTTCCAAGTAGTCTGAAATATCTGCTACAGAGAGTAGCATAGGTGGCAACACAAGAGTATGCAGAAACGATGAGTAAATAAGGTTACTTTTATTGATCCCGAGTGTGAAATATAGAATCATTCGTTGAATGGCTTAAAATTTATTGATTATACAATAATACCGCCACCTTTAGTAGTAGACGGAATTTGTAGATTGCGCAATGACAGATAGTGGATAGGACTGAAGCGGAAAGAGTTACATTGAATTTGCCAATCAGTATCGTCGGCCTAATTAGTGAGATCATTCGAGTGAGGGATATAATCACAAAAGCAGCAATGAAAAGGGTGAAGTATTACTTTCTAAAGCCTACAAAAATAACTGGTGATGAATTACAGTTTCCACTGAGAAGCTCGATGAATGGAATGCTTGAACAAAAACTGTGCCTGAGGCAACTTCAATAAATCTGTTGATACAAGCAAAAGTGATACATCGATCAAGCAAACCGGACACACACACAAGATAGTGCTCCACATCTGTGCAGAAGAGTGCTTTAAACGAAATTTTCAAGTGATCCTGGGCTATTTACAATCGGTAAATTATATATTATCCAACGACCGGGCTTCCAGAATGATGCCAATATGCTCCATGCTTTCGAACAATTCACAATGTACAAGATCAACCGATCAGCTGTAGTTGGTGAACAATCTCCAGGGGACGGATATGGTACGCTTTTCGTGAATGCCTGATATCTCATCTACAAATATGAGGCAAGTTCATTCAGCATCGCTTTACGGTGCGCTCATTTTCACTCCAGCAAGCGAAGGTTTGACATTGTTTATTTTTACACCTGCCTACTACATTTAAGTTGTCCAACGAATCCCTTCCGTTATGGCGCCGTGAATGTAAATATTTGTCGATAATTTCGATGTGGACAAAGCAAAGGAAACGTAAAGGTCGAAACAGCGTTGTTATAAATTCCTCATATAACCGGGTATAATACACGTTTTTGAAACAAATGGGTTGTATTTCAAAAAGGTAAATTCAATTCGCTTAGACCACAACGGATTGGGTTTAAGTGTTCAAAGCACAATTGAGTGGATGATCAGTGAAACCCACAACTTCAGCAGAAATGATATACACCTCGTAATTTTGTTGGCTATTAAGTGCTTGAAGTTTAAGCGGGTTTGCAAATCCCGATGCTGAACGTGTACTTGATGTCTCAGTCATGCAGCTGTTGCTCTCTAACAAATTTATAAGCAACGTTAGTTGCCCTTGTAGTTTGGTGACCAGTGAATCACCAAGGTTGCAAAAGTGTGGCAGAGAAACCCGTACCTTGTGTGTATTGCACCTGTGATCCGACCTCCACAGCCCTCCATTCATGTGCATAGTTTGCACCAGTGGGCTATCAACACTTGATCCAAGTGTTCTTACTGCATATTTGAAACGCGACTGGTTCACTACTGAAGACGATGATGGTGAGATAGCTCATCGCGTGAACCATCTGCTGCATTATTCTTTAGACATGCCTTTTGATTAGGGCCTGTTCCAAAAATGAAGGCCAACAGAATAAAGACGCCAGAGTTGGTATATTNTGGTATATTAGCCGGTTCATGTTTTCTTTCGCAGTCCGTCTTTGCATGGAACCACCCTACGAAGGCATCAGTCAGAGGAATCAGGGTTGGGTGTTTTCGGTTCGCGATGGATCACTCTTCCCTTAAATCTGATGAAATGCTACCAAAACAACCTAGTACCTTACTGTAACGCCAGAAGTGACTTCCTTGCATTTTTACAAGAGATGAGTAGTACAGATTTGATAAATCTGACGTAGTTGGGTGATAAACCCCCAGTTGCACTTGTGAGTGGTCTGAACACAAGCGGTCACTGACTGACGATGTATTAGTGGTTGTGGTTCGATCAAAATAATGTTACGGGATGGAGAATTGTTAGTGACTGGAAAGCAGTAGGTAAAACTCATGGGGTTTGAGAAAGAAGTGCGAGGAGTTTTATGCGTCTGTTTTAAAGCTTGAATGTATCAAAGCAATTCGTGACTTAGTTCTTCGAGTGAGCTCATGTGGCGAAGATCATAATGCCCTGTCAAATCAGGCATAACTCTCTTTTCTTTATGTGATTAGGGAGTGATCCAATTTGACCACATTGGTGGTTCGATAATGGTAAACTTCCGAGCTGCTATAGAATTAACCTGGGCTCAGGTGAACGGTTCATCACTCACAAAAGAAATCCGCAGGAATATTTCATCGGACCCCACCCACACCCACCTTGAACAACGAACGCTTCAACCAGCATGCAATTATACAGAATATTTCGCATCATCCGTTCAGTACTTCATATCTTACTAAAAGCTTGGGATCGAACACATCAGTTACGTACGTTTGAAAATGACACGTACAAGCTTTCGCCCACTATTTTGTTAGAAGCTTTTCCAACTGCTAATAGTTATCAATAGCTGTGTGCAATAAGTTCAGAACGCATACACTGGGATGAGTTAAGTTACTTTCGGTTTGTTAATGGTCAAAGAATCGGATCAGACATATACCAAGTACCGTTCTCCTAACCTAAAGAAGCACTGTATATGGAAAGTGGAATCTAGCCAGAGTAACTCAAAAATAGCGGTGTATAGATCAACCTCACCTGACCATTACGTTCCAATACTTTCTGGATCCCTTGTGATTGGAAATAAGAATTGGCGAACGGATCCAACTGGGCATTGTAAATTGGGATGGCGGAACCAACTTTCGGATTTGCTCTGCTATGATCTTCAGATATGTGTGATACAGCTATACAATCCAACACAAAAGATCGTTCTAATTTCTCCAATTTGGATGGAGTATGTTCATCACAGGTGGAGTACAATTTATTTTCAAAAAAACGACTCCGGCGGTGCTTTTGGTTCGATCGCTTGGAATTTTTCACCGAACCGGCGGTCTTGTGCTCCATCCCTCTCAGGTAGTGTTGTCCAACAGAACACGGATGAACAATTGACCAGAAAAAAAATATGCACTCAATATGAAGGCGGATTCCTGATAAGTACAACATCAGTCACGTGGTGGACAAGCTCAGGCAACCTACTCAGGTGATCTTCAGACACAGATGTGAAGTACAAAATGAGGCATGACTTTGACAACACGATTAGTCCTATTTCGCTCTCTCAGTTATAACTTACAGAATTGAATCCCGTGTCCCATTGGCAACCAGTTTTTGCGCGCGCGCAACCCATAACGGAAAACAACAATATCGATGTAGTTAATTGCACAAGACATGTTGTCATGGTGATAGAAAATACAGCATCACAAAATAATACCATAGGGTCAAAATGGAGAAAGCCACAGAAAGAAGTATAATCTAGTGCGAGGGAGCAAGTTGCGAATTCACTCGGCCAAAATGNAAATGTATCTATCCATAAGAAAGCTAGAAATAAGGTCATTGAAACCGAGCTGATGAGAACGTCTTCATGATTTATATCGTAAGCAAGAACGAATAATGAACAAAGTGGACAAATAAGTACAAATGCAGTAGAACTCCGTTTAAAAGATCAGACCTTCCGGAAAGATAAGATCAGAAAAATGGGTTAGAAAAAGAGAATAATGTATGATATAAGGTGATTTGATTGAATTCAGATATGAGGGAACGGTGGATAAGGCAACTTTTCGAATTGTTCTGCATCTGTTTGGGTGCGCAGAAGGAAACAGAGCCTACAAAAGATCAGATGAAAATTTCATGATAAATGGATTTCTGCATTTTCCGCATAGCCATATCCGTAGCACAATCCCAATAGTGTCTTGATCAGTTCCTGTACCCAATCAAAAGGCAACGCGGGACGCAATAGAAGACCACCCAAATGCGAATTGTCCAGCATTTCAGTCAAACAGGTGAGATGCCGTTTGACAAGTGTTGGTTTGATCTGATGCGAACGCAGAGTCAGAAACTCAGCTGGAATGGAATTGGTTTTTTCTTGCAAATCTTTTTGTACCAGTTTGTCGAAGCGCAACAATGTACGTGAACGTACGGATGTGGAACAGTTACAGTGTTTCGAGCACTGGCCGGATTTAAGAGGTTTGCCCATAGTGAACGGTAGCTTGCAATGCTGGCAGATCAGTCGCATACTATCACAATTTATTCGAGACCAATTTTCGACACAGGCAGGACAAGTGCACCGGAAGTGATACTGACTTTGCAACAAATCTTGGCGTTCTGCGAGATCGTGTGTGGCATAATGTACACCGTAGTTTCCGTAAAGTACGTCACCTTTCGGTATGGGACGCAAAGCGAACACGCCACAAACCCCGTCACGCATGAATATAAGAGCCACGTTTGGATCACAAGAATGGTTCATCAGAGATAGAACAGGATACAAACAACTGCCCAATTCAACCGGACTAAACTGGGTCAGATCGACTCCTGGTGCATCATCGTTACCCGGCTCTGTTTTCGGTTCAATAAACCGATCCACGGTAAATGCATGTGCATTTGATGACACACACTGGAGATGATGGAGAATAAAGGCTGCGGCCCATGATGCCGGTAGGGCATCACCCAAGGGTAATTCGTCTGAGCCGAATGGGTCAACCAAACACTTTTCACCCCAATCCAGAGGATATCCACCAGCCTAAATCAAAAGAAAAACAGTTAAACATAGAGAACGCACAAGAAAATTACCAACGAAAGTAAAAAAATGCGAGTCCGCTACGAATCTGTGTTTATGTCAATTCTATGCGGCTTGAACAACTGGACAGTACTCCGCCCATCATGGACCTATTTCTTAATTATAAAGATTATTGTATCGTCACTTGTTTTGGGACACAACCCGCACCTAATGGTAATGCATGCAGAACAGGTTGAATACAATTTCATTGAATGAAATGCTCCTTTTCTCCTAAAGATCATTCAAGGTTGATGGCAAAATACGGTTCACTCAGAGAACGGATGTACTGTTAACATTTGCTTCTAAGTTGAAAAACAAAACAAATAAACGGAAAATAAATAGAGGCACCAAAAAAGGGCAGCAGTAGGGTTTCGGGCGCCACACATAAGACTGTTCAACTTAGTCAATCCACGTGAAACTAAAAGTGTTGCTTGACCAAGAACAAAATTAATGATGTGGTTTGCATTGTTAGATCTACTTGCAATCACTGGGTTTCGCCCCGGTAGGTAGATAAAAGTTTTGGTGGAGGCCACATCAATTGAGAAGTCACAAACGACGTTTGAGATGGGCTACAGTCGAAATCCACAAACAAAATCCTGTTGTGATCTACACATTGCGAGACAAAGCATACAAATTTGGTCGTTGGTGCCTCACTGGTGGACTTAGTGTTTTGAGGTCCTGCTCACATTTGTAAGTGGTTTGCACGCACCAAGAAGCGTTTATTGGATTCCCACGGCATTTGATTTACTATTGCAAATACAGACAAGAGACAAGCATACTTTCAAGCATATGAGCACCGACGAACAGATGATGACAAAAAAATGCTAACCGATTGTTGCAAATGAGATGTTTCGTTCTATGTAATCTTATTTACCCCTATCCGATGCTGTTCTGTGAATAAATAATTTCCTTGGTCCCGCACTGGTCTTCTGGAATCACATTAGTTGAGAAGAACCAGCAAATTTTAGAATACAGTGATGGCCTACTCACGAGTAGATTGCGGAAACAGAAAGGATTGCAAATCAGTTCCATCCGCATATGAGAGAACCAATTAGCTGATTCCCAATGAACCAGCAATTCAACCACAATCGACTTCAAACAAACACGACAAACACAGACCTAAAAAAACACAATAATAACATTCTGGCGGATTGTGAAGATTGTCTTTACTGACACCAAATCGATACAAGATCTGCACACACAAGATGACAAAACATTAGAAACCGTTGTTCAACCGCGAAAGTGTGTTTTGAACTTGAACACTCCAGTGGAATGGCCAAGCATCAGGAGACATTGTACACCTAAGTAACTTTGCAGCTTTTTAAACCTGAACTTTTAGAATGCATGTGAACCTCCCAAGTGTAAAGTTGTGTATCATGATTGATTGATCTTGCTCCAAATCGCATCCTACCAAGAGACCAACAGGGAAACTAAATTCTGATACTCAGCGAGCGAAGCCTCTCACATACAGTTCAGTTCATTTTGAGCAGAGATTCACTTTACACTTTTGTGCGGAGACCTCGCTATCGTCTTCCGGTTGCCCGTTTGGATGAATAAATAGAGGAAGGAATTAGAAAGATACCGAATGTCGATAAACCACACTTGAGAAGGCATTGAACAGGCGCACGAGCACCAATGTTTACGATACTCAGCTACATCACTCGGTGATTATCGATTCGAACGATCCTGAGGTATTCAATCAGGAAGCTTAACGCGACCCATTTGCCCAAGTTCTCCAGAAACCGCTTTCATGGCTTCCCGTGAAATGTTTGTTGGATCACACTTACCTGTCATTCAATACATCAAACATCGCATGTCGAGGAGGCATAACTGATGAAATGTATGACACATGACCAAGCCCTCCTAACCCATGGACATCAAGCATTTGTCCCAGCGTGTGACCGAGATTATCTAAAATCACAAATCTCACCCCGGAATTCCAGGTTCAGTTAAACAAACACACTCGAACAATGCGGTGTAGATGGGAATTTCGAAGTCTACTTTCGCAACGACCAAGCGTCTACACTGTATAGCACCGCCGAACGGACAGCTACAGCATACACTCGGCCAGATGTTTCTAGTTAGTAGACACCCAACCAGCCTTTTGTATGAGTACCGATACTTCATCTGTGAATTGTCTGCCTGGTGATATGTAGCTGCTAAATAGCACTGTCTACTTCATCTAACGTGGCCCCAATCAGAGTGGGGTTGGAAGCTGGACCAATCCTCTAACAACATTTGACACTTTGGAGTGAAGTTGGGTAGAATGATTTGATGGCTATTATAGATAAGAGAGGACAGAAATAGCGGGTCTACGGAGTACAATGTCAACGAGACGCTGCAAGGCGACACTCATCAAGCCAATTTCCCTGTCATTTTCACAAGAGGATCTTTCATCTTTCTTTCAAATCACTAAGATGACCGATTCAAACGAACAAATTTTAGCTTCTTTAGTTCCAGATATTGAACCTGGGAGTTTCGTCAACTTCAAGACGAGAGTTGAGCTTCATCTTTAAAAGCCAAAGGGGACGACCCTTCCAGGTCAGACACTTTAGTCCCCGAGTAAATTCCAGTTTAGAAGAACTGGTATATACTGATGGAAGTTTGACACTGGAGACAGAAGTTGAGAAAATTAATTTCTATAGGAGGCAGCTAAACTTTGACGTATGAGACCCTAATCACCTCAATTAGGAT